GATATCGTTAGGATAGACAGACTAGGGAAGACATTTTTGAGCCACCTTTGGCAAAGTAGAAAGGAACGATTGGCCATCGGTGATCGGTCCTGTGGGAACAATGCTCCGTCCTCTCGAGGACGCGTGGTCAATGGTCTAACCGCTAAGGCATGCAAAACAGAAGAGTACGCCCCCCCCCCACCCCCCCATGCACAAACATGTTCTGAAAACGCCCAGGGATACAATAGGGGCCAGAAAGGCAACACCCACAACACGACACGTAGTAGTAGACAAAGAGCAGACAGGCGAGATGAAATAGTTCCGAGAGATGACAGGACAAATCGCTGGATAGCGCAACTGCCTCGGGATCAAGTCACATGTATCTCCCCAACCACGCAAGTCGACGTTGTCCTCAAATAGCATTTGATCGTCCTGAGAGAAGCAACCGTGTACGCACGCACGCACGCACGCACGCACGCACGCACGCACCCAAAAATTCCATGTGTTCGGCGTTGTCGCTGCAGGCTTGTTCGATCGCGCAGCACGCGACCGCGACGAAGTCTTCGCACGTGGAGCTGCTGGTGCTCGTTGATGAGCCCGCGCACACATCAAAAACAGCCAGGTACGCGTTGTGTCACTCGGTGTACGCGTCGTCTGCCATGCAGGTCGCTGCTTCCGCCACGCAGACGCTGCTGCTGCTGGAGGCGCTGGTGGTGAGCAAGCCCCTCATCATGTGGGCCGTCGGATCAACAACCTCGTTTGAGGCCCAGGACTCGGCGACGCATCCCGCCACAACCAAGAGGGCCGTAGCGACATCGCTCCCACGCATGGCTTTGCTGCTGTTCTCCTGGCTTTGCGTTGAGACGGTCATGACGACCTTTTTGTAGGCGCGTGGCGGGGAAGGCGTGAGAGTCAGAGACGCTGGTCTTCGGACAAGAACACACCAGGTTGCCATTACACTATGATTCCAAATCATGCTGAAGGAGTTGCAGCCTTTACACGTACGCAGCAAGTGGTTACTTCGTCTGTGATGAGAGGCTTCCAATGGGATGCCTGTCGTGAGCACTCAGCCAGTCCAATGCCACTCATGTGCCTATCATGGGTATCCATGGGCATGCCTACGTGGATCTTGCTTAACAATGTTTCATGGAGTGAAAATGGCGGGCAGGATAGCGTACCCCGTCAACGGTGTAGGCAAGAACGCCTGACTGCAGTCAAATACCGAATCTCGGCCCTCTTGTCCGGTCAAAACAAACGCAGTGCGCGCAGAAACTTACGCAGACGTGCATGCACCCAGCAATCGACGGCTGTGTTTGAACTTTGCCCCAGCAATCGATAATCAGTTATGCTCTGTCTTGAGAACCAAAATGTGGTTAAGGTATGCCTTGCGGGGAAGGACACCGTGAAGCACGAGCTGACCTTATCAAGTGGGTGCCGTACTCATGATCAATCGTTGGACCTTCCGAGAGGCTAGGGGCAGGGTCAGGGGGTCCCCATGGTGGGCACATTCCACACGTCGTCTGCTTTTGACGGGCGTTTCGGGGTGGCCCCGCGGCGGGCACACCACGTGTTTTGCCCATGGTGGGCATCCGATGGACATTACTCCATACAGTGCCGGCTCGCTCAGAAGAAACACCTATTTTGAGCGAGGCTCAAACTTTATTTTCTTATTTTGTTGTAGAACCGGCCGCTATGCTCAATTTCTTAGGTTGAAAGGTAAACTACGCGGGGTGCAGCAAGCACGTTTTGGACGTTGCTTTGGGGCACTGGGTAGTCGGCCGTGTTAGGCCGAGAGAGAGGTTGAGAGAGAGTTGGAGAGAGAGTGGGAGAAGGAAAGTTGATTGGAGAGAGACGGTGGTGGTGGTGGAGAGAGGGAGGGAAGAAGTGCGCAGCACGCACGCAAGCCTCATCATCGCACCGACCATGCCCAAAGGGTCCCCGTGACTGCGCCTGTGGTACCCTTCAACACACGAAATTCCCAACACGTATCCCCCTGGGATCCTCACGACCAGATACTACTGCGAGCATATCTAACATAGGTGATTGTTGCTGAAGTTGCTTCAGAAAACGGTAATGCTAAATACGACACCGGTGTCGTAAATCCTTAACTACGACACCATCCGGATCTCAGCTCAGAGGGCTCCAAATGGCGTCAGACTAGGTTTGTTGGAACGCCACGGCTCTTAGCGATCACGCAAGCTTTGTTCCAACTCCAGGGGTCACGCGGTTGGGAAGATGTCATCGAGAAACGGGGTTCCGCAGCATCACTGCCTTGGTCTCTAGAAGTAGGCTGCCATTTCTCAGCCCACAGGCTTCCAATGCGGGTCAAATTAGGTTCGTTGCAACGCCACGATCCTAGGCTATCACAGAAGCTATGTTTTAACCCAATCGGCTACGTGGATGCGGAGATGTTCTTGAAACGGGGGTTCCGCAGCATCACGGCCTGGGTCCCTAGAAGTAGGCTGCCATTTCTCAGCCCACAGGCTTTCAATGCGGGTCAAATTAGGTTCGCTGCAACGCCGCGGTCCTAGGCTATCACAGAAGCTATGTTTCAACCCAATCGGCTACGTGGATGCGGAGATATTCTTGAAACCGGGGTTCCGCAGCATCATAGGCAGGGTCCCCTCACGTATCCGATCATATCTCAGCCAGCAGGGCTCTACGAAATGTCCAACTAGTTTCGTTAGAATACCATCGCCCGTAGCTATCACTCAAGCTCTTGTTCAGCTCAATCCGCTACGTGGTTGCGGAGATATCGTTGGAAATGGGGGTCCGCAGCATCACAGGGAGGGTCCCCTCAGGTATCAGGCCATGTCTCAGCCCACAGGGCTTCAATCGTCGTAAAACTGACTTCGTTAGGTAGCCACGGCCCGCAGCGATCGCGCAAGTACTTTGACATCTCATTCGACTCGGTGGTTCTGGAGTTACAGTCTCAGGAAAGGGCACAGCAGTATCGTGAGCTCGGTATAATCCTCCAAATAAACGTGGTCTACGTCGACCCAATGAGCGCACAGCAGCCCAGAACTATTCACGCTACCTTGCCACGACCCGCAGCTATCGTTAGAGCCGTCGATGACCTCAATCGGACCTGTGTCAGCCGAGATGTCCCTACCCACAGGTAAACGGAGGTGCCGCAGGGTGGTGTCGTAGATAAGGTTAACTACGACATCACCCGCATCTCGGCGCACAGAGCGTGCATCAACGTAAAACCGACTCGAATGGGTTCACACCATCCTCAGCTATCGTGCAAGCCGTTACTTGGCTAGATCAGCCCGTTGGTTGCGGGGATACGATAGCCCACTGGGGTCCGGCCGCCCCGAGCGTGGTGTCGTAGTTATNGTTACTTGGCTAGATCAGCCCGTTGGTTGCGGGGATACGATAGCCCACTGGGGTCCGGCCGCCCCGAGAGTGGTGTCGTAGTTATGCGCTTAACTACGACACCACTCATTTCTTCGACCAAAGGCCACGACTCGACGCCAAACCATTTGCGCTGTGTTGCTAGAGGTAGCCGGCGTCGTTGGAGTCGGTGGCGGGTGAATTTCATCCGGTGGGTTAGGTGGAACGCCTACATCCGAGGGCCACGGCGCCCCGGGGGATGGTGTCGTAGATAAGATTAGATACGACACTATCCGCATCTCAGCGCACAGAGTTTCAATGACAGAAAACCGAGTTTATCGGAAAGCCACAATCTTCAGCTATCACGGAAGCTGCTACTCGGCTGCATCGGCCCGGTGGCTGCGGAGATACTATCACCCGCAGGAGTCCGGCCGCCCCGAGAGTGGTGTCGTAGTTAAGCCTTATCTACGACACCACTCATTTCTTCAACCAAAGGCGACGAATCGACACCAAACCATGTGTGCTGTGTCGCTAGAGGTAGCGAGTGTCGGTGGAGTCGATGGCGGGTGAAATTCATCCGGTGGGTGCAGTGAAACGCCTAAATTCGGGGTCCACGGCGCCCCCACGTGCCATGTCTACGTACGAGCTATTCTCCGATGTGCGTCTAGGAGGAACGTACATGTCCGATGTATATGTCCGAGTCCCTAGAACAGACACATGGGCGATATGGGTGAAGAGTGGAGCGGGGGGGTACCTGGACAGTCTCCAGACGGTATTCGGCGTACACGTGACTCCACCCCGCCAAAACGTCATACAATGATAGGTTTAGTTGAGGGCTAAGGAGAGAGTTGAAGTCACGGTGTTGCTACCGACGGCACAGAGGAAGGTCGCCTCGCGTTGCCGGCCTACAAAATGGACACCCCAACGACCAGGCTTTGTTTGGAGAGGATGTTGACAGACATTGCGTGCAAGACTATCATTGTATTCAACGCTAACGACCAGGTCCGACACTCGGTTAGCTGCGCCTGCAAAACGTAGGTAAACCAAAACGCCCCAACATAAACACGGCCCAGCGAAAAAAAATTAACAAAAGACAGAAAGATAAACCGAAAAACGAGCAGGCAGACAAGGCCAGATAGCACGCATAGCGCGTACTTTGTCGTGTGCAATTCCAAACATCAGGCTTAGCCTGCAACGTCCGCTAGTAGCTGTGCAGCGTTAGTACGCAAGAGGTGATATGGACTGGCAACGCCGAGAACGAGATGACAAGGGCGGCACACGATTCGAACTATCTATGTGTCCCGGCCGTTGATTTGTTGCTAGGGACTACGTGTTGTACGCTACGACGTTTTCTCTTTGGTAGGCCGACGGGTCTTTGCTCCAGACCCAGCACCAGAGACGTCTTTGATCCTTTTTTCCCTCCGGCTCTTGTCCGTCCGCCCTTCCGGGTTACCGACTGGTTGAACAGACCCGCTGTCGGCAGGCGCACCGTTGTCATCGTGTCGGTCCTGCTTTGATCCCTCCGACTTGGATTTCTTAGGCCTCCCTTTCGCTTTTACCTGCGCTGGATTCCCGCTCTTGTTCTCGCCGGTAGCTTCGGCAAGCTGGAACCTCATCCACTTGTCCAGTTCAGCCTGTATCTCCAAGGCTTTGGCGTGTGGAACCGTCCTCATTAGTTCGGTGACGTTTTCCTTGTTCTTGGCCATCAGAGTCGCGAACACGCGGCGATGGTCACTCGCCGATCGTTCCGCGGCTGCTTTTGCCGCACGTTCTGCGGGGTGCACGCCGCCCTCCCCGCCGTCGTCGTCGTTCGTCGGCCCCCAGAAGTTGTCTTAGCCGTGGTCACATCCATCCCAGCCGTCGCCGTGGCCTGCCCCTTCCAACACTCTGGAGACGGTCCACGGCGCGTCGCTGCCGTCTGGTGATTGCCGGCAGCGTGTGTGCACGCTGTTGCCGTCGAACTCGTGGTTAAGCAGGACTCCCCCGTACTTGCCGCCGATGAAGCGAACTAGCACGGCAAAGTAGTGCCTGCATGGTAGGCCGTGGCGCAAAATCTTCAGCCAAGAGCACAAGTAGAAGCCACCCGGGCCGAATACCACAATATGGCCCGGCCGTGAAGGCGTGAGCTTGTACCGCACGGCGGCGGCAAGATGGACGGGAACTCGGCTGACGAGGTCCAACAGCGCCTCCAAAGACGTACGCGCCCAAAACGGTGTTGTCCTCGGTCGATTCAGCCTAGGGCCAAGCTTGCAGTCGATTTCCAGGTCAGTGTCGGGCGGCGCTTCCTCGCAAAGGTTGAAGTCGAAGTGTGCGGCCTCAAGCTGTTGACGCAGGACACCACCCTCCAGAGGCACGGGGCGGCCTTCGGCGTCTGCTGCTCCTACGCAGATGACTTCTACGTCGTACGACTGGGATGCTCCGAGCTCGTCCTTAGCCTCCTGCAGAGTGCAGTGGACAGGGGCGCACTGTGATGTGGTAGGGTTGCTTCCCCGGGAAAACAGTACGGTAAGCACCAGGAAGGGGAACGGGTAGATGTATCGACTGCGCACATGTTACTGTTGTGCACGGGGAAACGTGGATGTTCAACTCACAGACGGCAGGGATAAGAAGGAAAAAGGAAACCGGAAAACTCTAAGAACTTCTCACCAGTTGGCAGTATGGGCTGGCGCCAACACTTTCGAGCTCCTCCCGGATCGGGGCGAGAAACCCTCCAAGTGCTTCGTCTGAAAAGCCAACTCCGATTTCACGGCTGAGCTTGCAACCCTGGACGAACGAGGTCAGCCGGAATGTCCGCACGTGAATTGCACTCCTGTGAGCTTCCGCTTCGGAAGGAAGTTGAAGGCGTGCTACGGCAAACTCTCGTCAGAGCTCACGGTCGAGGAGAGTTCAACTGAGGACTTGATCTTCGACAATTACTTTCGCCGAGGATGTCCCCGAGGCGAACAACGCGCGCCCAAGTGTTCCGTCGCACATTGACGTAGTAAAAGCGGAGTTCGCACCTCTACAGGTCCGGGTTCAGTTCATCTCACCTGCCGTGCTCAATGTCCACTGTCTGGTACACATGTTGAAGGCGGTCCCACAGCGCGCACAGAGACAGCTTCTTGTGTATCCCGGACTTTTTCGCCACCCCGAACATGCCCTCGGTGCGCTGCGTGGCAAACATGCCCAGCGTGAGCGCTGTCAGCCGGCAGGAGAAGGCCCACTTCGTTTTCTCCCTTCACAGCACCAGCACGAGATCAACATTTGCCGACGAAACGGCTGAGCAANCCTCTACAGGTCCGGGTTCAGTTCATCTCACCTGCCGTGCTCAATGTCCACTGTCTGGTACACATGTTGAAGGCGGTCCCACAGCGCGCACAGAGACAGGTTCTTGTGTATCCCGGACTTTTTCGCCACCCCGAACATGCCCTCGGTGCGCTGCGTGGCAAACATGCCCAGCGTGAGCGCTGTCAGCCGGCAGGAGAAGGCCCACTTCGTTTTCTCCCTTCACAGCACCAGCACGAGATCAACATTTGCCGACGAAACGGCTGAGCAAAGAAAACGTCTGTGGCTACCTCTGCTACGGAGCAGGTGCAGCAAGTTCGCTCGGCTGTTACGCAGCATGACTCGCGCGCTTGATTTTATATACGGCACCATTACCTACTCGAGAAGGTCCCGGATGTACTGGTCGCACTTCTTGCCGTTGACGGTCCTCTCCAGGTCAGCCCGGTACGCAGCGAAGGTCTGCAGCGAACGTACGATCGAGGTGGCCGAGGTTAAATCACCCACTCACGTAGTCGGGGCAGAGGCGGCAATGCAGAACATGAAGGACGCAAGATAAGAAGCAACTGCAGCCCACACTAATCTCACCTCCGGCGTAGCGGCGTACGCAGCGTTTCTGAATAGACGGAGCATCTTCTCCCGTGTCTTCATGTCAGAAAAGGACGAGGAACAGTGCTTGACCACGTTCTTGTTGAGGTGCGACAAGCACCACAGGTGCACGGTGGTCTTCCACTCCCTCAAGGCCGCGGCCATGGCCTGGTCTGCGTCGGTCAGCATGACCTATACGAATCCGGCACGAAAGAAGAGACGAACACACACACGCCCCCACAACATTATTTCATTGGCATTTCGTGTAGGGGAAGTACTAAGTCGGCGTAGACACAAGGAGGTGCGAATGGACGACATGTGATACGCGTTGTCGACTCCGGAGCTGGCAACTGTGCATGTCAAACACCCGTCCACGCCCACCATGGACAGCTCGNTGCGTCGGTCAGCATGACCTATACGAATCCGGCACGAAAGAAGAGACGAACACACACACGCCCCCACAACATTATTTCATTGGCATTTCGTGTAGGGGAAGTACTAAGTCGGCGTAGACACAAGGAGGTGCGAATGGACGACATGTGATACGCGTTGTCGACTCCGGAGCTGGCAACTGTGCATGTCAAACACCCGTCCACGCCCACCATGGACAGCTCGAACCGTCTACAGGGTTCGGGTTGCTTAGCACACCTTTGGCCTCCGTCCACCAGCAGCTTCCTCGTGCGAGTCCAAGAACCACTTGAAGGTTTCGGTGCTTTCCGACCGCAGCACGCCCTGCCCCAAGACGCACGTGCGATTTTCGTCGTCCACGGCCACTATGAACAGGATTGGGCACCCGTACCTGCAGATACCGAACGAAGATAGACAGTGTGGCGTGCGCACGCGGGAGGCGGGTGGTAGGTAAGGACAACCGAAGCTCAACAGACAGAGGGTAACTCGAACGTACTTCAGCAGTCACGCCGTCGGAGGTACCTGTTGGTGAACAGTGTAGTATCTATCTGGATACAGGCGAACCTCAGGCAGGAACCGCAGGAGGGGGTCCAGCCCCCCCCTCCTATGTGACCCCGGTTGGGTCGTCTGGCTAGTAGAAGTGAAGGATAGGGGCCAGAGGGGAAGACGACAGAGCAATGATGGGAGAAAAGCAAAAAAACGCCGCCGAACGTCGCCATCTTGTCCTGTTGGTCGACGGTGGCCCAGAACACATCAACGATCCTCCCTAGGCTGTCGAAAGTGCGCTTGACGAACATCCCGGGCTCAGCTTCCATTTTCGCGAGGAAACTGGCGCCATCCGCAGGCGTGGAGTACAACTCGTTTTGCATCTTGTTTATGGCGTGATACAACTTGGAGGGTTCGGAAAACGTGCGGAATGTGCAGGAAGTCGGCCGATTATCAACGGAAAATTAACACCCACGTCGTAATGTAACAATATAGATTAGGTTCGGTTTCGCCCAATTTTTGTGATCGGGGGCGATTCTACCTGTCAGACATACATACCCCATGATCGCCAAGCACGGACGGCTACGGCATTTGCTCGCCCTCGACCCCCCCACCCCCCCCACCTCCCCTTCCCCATTCGGGCTTTGGAAGATTGCAGCAACGGCCCGTGCGCAGTGCCCGCCAGCAAAGCTAATCTATTTACCTTATTCTTCCCGTCTTTCGCCAAGCACAAACCGTCGTAGTCCATTTCCAGCAGTTTGAACATGTCCGTGAGTTTGACGCCAGCCGCCGTCCACTTGCAGACGTCATCGAGTCTCTCGTCGACCACTGTGGGCGGCAGGACTTTAGCCTGGGCTCTTGAGACGCTCCCCCGGGGATTGTGGTTGTGCTTGCGGAAGGACTAGCGCGCACGATCACATCAAAAACGAACGTTAAACGCACAAGAACCGCCCCAAAAAACGGCAAAAGGCACCGGGAAAGTCAAGGACCGCGACAACACCCGTCGGAACAGGGAAAACGGGATTTCCTGACGGCAGCGACGAGGCTTGTCATCATCACGCACGGCTCAAGTAGATATTTCGTGTGGCCTGAGGGTTGGTTTTTGGATACGCAGAGAGGCACTCGCTTGGCATGCACACGAGCATGTCGAACGAATGACTGTCACATCAAAAGAAAATCAGAAAATACGGCGAAAGGATTACTCGTTGGATGACAAAAACACGGAGTAACGGATGACGACACCACAAAAAACGAAACGAAACGAATAAACGACAATGAAATAACGATAAAAGAACGGCGACAATTCCCCGAAGAAGAAAACACGTCAACCACGACGACAGGTACCCCATATAGGTCACGTAGCCGTTACAGCGGCAGAAAAAATGGGCGAGGTACGATACGAGCACATAGGCTACCCCGAGTTCCCATCCTCACCGACGTTATGATGGGATTAGTCGCCCCAACTCGCCACGTCATGTGGATCTTGAAAGGGCACTTGATCTGCACCACGAACAGTCACAGGGCACGTGTCGCAGGAGATGTGGGTATCCCGCGACGCGTGTTGAAAGGGGGCCGACGCACTCTCCCGCCAAAATCTCGCAGCGAACTCCGGCTCTGAACACCAACAGCCTCAGACTATGTTACGCACCATGTTACTCTTCCGCACCCTCTTCTGCTTCCCCACTTGGGGCGCACGCCTACGCGCCACCCCCGAGTGTTTGCAGACGATTTCGCAAAGGTAGTGCCTGCTCTTCTCGGTCGTCTGCGGACACATAGGCCGGAAGGCAAAACAAATTCAGTGGGAACGCATTGGGAAACGTAGGTTGAATAGCGAATGATTCCACCAGCTCGTTTCATGAAGACGTGACATCGTGGCTTCCCTAGGCTATACCATGAACCGTCGTATAATCGAATTACCAGATCTATTCAACTCACACTTGCGCCTCTTCTTTTGAAGGGTTAGCAGCCCTTCTTCTTCGAGCTCCCCGATGACCACGGCGAATGCGGCCTCCCACGTGTCGTAGGCTGACTCCTTCACGTCGAATGCGCGGCCAAGGTGCGCAATTCCTCAGCCATCTACGTCCCCGCACAGCCCAGTTTCCTCGTCGGTGTATTCGTCCGTTTCACTATCCGCCCCATTGGCCTTGCTCTTACCGCTGGCACATTCCTGCTCCTGCATACACCACGCATCAAAGGGCCGCGAGATTGCGCAGTCCAATCGCAAGCTCAGACGAAGCTCAGAGACCTCAAGCCGACCAAACACTTTGTCGGGACTGGTATTGCCTAGTCCATTCCGAGTGCAAACGTTCGGGCCGCCGCAAGCGGGGCTCACCTTCTTGATCACCTTCTTGATCCCGCCTTGTTGGTCGTCTTCGTCATCACGGTCGTCTTCATCATCGTGGTCGTCTTCATAGTCGGAGGCAAGGTATTCACAATGGGAGGCAAGATCGTCGGAATCCTCGTCTTCATCAGGGTCGCCCACCTTCTTTCTCTGCACACCAACAAAGCGGGGAAATGGACACAACCACAAAGCTATCAACAATGGTCAACAGCATTCCCCCTCCCCCTTGCGTCGACACAAGACGCGCTCGGATGATAATGGGTATATCATACGGCATCGCAGCGGCATTACCGTGTGCCTCCATCACTTGCCATTCAAAGTTGGTGACCGTAGCAAGCCTGTCTCACCTTTTGTCGTGGCCTCGTTGACCTCCGCTCGATTTCCCGTCCCGATCCTCATCGTCGGTAAAGCGCCCGCCCTTCCTGCTTCTCCCCTTCGCTGTTTCCTTTTCCCGCCCCGACCTTTTCTGCCCATCTGACTTCCTGCCCCCTCTGCCCTCCCCAGGCTCCGACCCCTCATCCACTCCCGACCTGCCTGNTTGTCTTCTTCGTCTGCATTGACCCTCATGACTGTCCCCCATGCCGGGCTGGGTGCCCATGCTCCTGTGTGAATGTGAGTACCCACGCCAATCTCGAAGAATCCCTGCGAATATGGCGCATGCATGCAGCAACAGGCGGTGTTTCGCATCGGGGGACGGACTTCGTACGAGCACGCACGAACGCTGATCGTTCCTTCAGTGCGTACCCTCAGGGCTGGCGTCGCTGACTCGAAGGGGGGGGAGCGACGAAGAGGAGAAGTCTTGGGCTTGCAATACAACACGAAAATTCGAAATTCTAATCGACACCGTGTAAATCGCCGTTGTAACATAGCCAAAGAGAGGAGGACCGTCTACACACACAACACAAACAGGTATCGGGTACATCAACAAGTACATGCCGATGTCAGATACCGTTCTGGTGTCCTCCTTATAGGAATGCACACAAGCGTCTACGCAGCACGTTCATCCGTTATTTCGTTATTTCATCCTTTATTTGATTACTTCCAATANTCCCCTCCCTGCGGTTAGGGTGGATTCGCAAGCTGCAAGCGCTCCGATTTGTGCCGTTTATGATACTCGATGAAGCCGTTACCACTTCACGTAGCGGGGGGGCACTGATGAACCTTCCACTCACCCTCCCCTCTCGAGCGAGTGTAATAATCAAAGTACTCCCCGCCCTCCCATTTACCATTGCTAAATACTTAAAACAAAGAACCACTCCATATATTCATGATTACTCCTCCTACACGGGTTTCGACATTCTCTCGGCGTTTCTTACGACAACATGCATCTGATTGCGGGATATTCTCCTCCATACTGGACTCCTAGTGGGAACTTTGCTGAAATGGGGTGAAAGGCTTCAATTCTTGGCCCATCCGACCCACCCATATCAAGACATTCTTTGTGCGGTTCCAGACTAATTGGGCTGGAACCAACTCTTCTTCCTTCGTGAACGTACTTTCAAATTCCCTACATGCTGAACCATTCTGCTCCAGATGATCCCCGCTACCGCCTCAACCAAGTAGGCTTCTAAACAACATGGGAATGCCACCGACAGCCCCATAGAAAACCAGAGTTTTACGCCTGGCTCATGGGCCCTGCCGAGGACACCCAACGCTGCCCAACCCTGGGACGCCACCTACAGCCCCATAGAAAACCAGAGTTTTCTCCCTGGCCCATAGGCCCTGCGGATGCCACCCAACGTTGTTCTTCCTCCTACCGAACTGACCGGTATCACCCTGTCTCTATAAAGACCATCACTTGTCCTGTCGCTTTCGGCTATTCCTATTGGTAATCTTGAAATGTCGCATTCGGCTAAGATCTGAAGAGCACACCAGGATTGCTATCATCTGCAGGTCGCTTATAGCTGGGGAAGGACATGATTCTGTAATCACCGACCCACCCAACTCTGCTCCACGC